CCTTTTCAGATTGATAATTCAACCTTATGTCTCTTTCCAGAAACTTGTTTTCGACATTCCCACTTGTATCCGTCAGATCTGTCGGCGCATTTCACTAGTCTCATTCTACTGTTGCAATGGCCACACACTCTTTCATGTGCAATCAATCCCTCGTCCATGCACCAACGTATAACGTTTTCTTTATCAAATAACACCGCGTCCTTCAACCGAACGCAGGGAGTGGCGTAGGGAGGGGGGGGACTGGGGACACGTGTCCCCCAACTATAAAAAAGATAAGAAAAAGTGCCCTTTTTCATACCTAACATTATTATACCCTTATGAGAGTTTGTTATTAAATTAATGAATGTAGTAAGTTTTTTTTGGGATTCCAGCATTCGCTTGCTGTTAAATATTTTTTCGAGGAACCCCGGCTTGCCAATTGCGACGTTTATGTTAATAAAAATAGCACAAATACCGGACGTTTCTAAACCGGAAATATCACGTCTTCTTGTTGCTAAGTTGCTTTGGGACTGCCGAATACAGATTTTATATTGTCAAAGTTATAACATATTCAAATTTGCAAAATTTTCTTGTTAAAAATTCATGTTAAAATTTTAATGTCTTGTTATATGATAAGACAGCATACAACATGTTTCCGCGCACCACGCGGCACTTAATGGTATAATACTCACTATTAATATATATGCAGGACAGTTTATATTAATATTATTATATTTAAAATAAACAATACTTTTTGAAAATACTACGAATTTGCTGTTTCAATGTAGCTTGCATCAAAAATGTGAAATACAGACACAAACTAAATTCATATTTTTAAGACAAGACAAGAATTGCGTTGTTTAGGAAACGGAAATGAATTAACTTGAGGGTGCCTTTTTTCTATGAAGAAGTACCCCTGAAAGCATGTGCCCCCCAACTTTAACTTGCTTCCTACGCCACTGATCGTACCTCCATTTCGTTGTCTTCTCCGCGCTTCAACCATAACTGCTATGACGTGGCTACATCAAATTCTCTAAACAAAGTGACAAGGCTACATGAAACATTTTCGACACAATTGAAGTTTACTGTCAGTTAATGAGTTAACAAAACTATCTGATAAGTAAAATCATCTAGTAAAATCATCTAGTAAGGTACAACAACAACAACAACAACAAAAATTTATTTTGTACCCATACATTAATTACATTTTTTTTAGCTAAAATAGCTAGAGATACATTTAACACTCGATGAGTACCTGCTACCTGTAATAACTATAAAAGCTAATACAATCAGGCAGCAGAAAGAAATTTAACTCTTTAAAAAGTTTCATTCATGGGTTACGAAATATAGATAAATAGTAGAAATTAGAAAAATTAGAAAAATTAGAAAATTAGTCCAATAAATTATTTATGAAAGCGACGTACAATTTTGTAAATCCAAATGAGAGAGCAAGGCATGTATCACTCTGTGAAAACAACTAATATTCATCAATGAGATGAATTTTTAGTTTTCTTTTGAAGGCTGAAGGCGACAAGTTTTTAAAATTTTCGTCTACATCGTTCCACACCTTTACACCTTGAAATCGAATATTGAATTTTCCATAATTAGTTTTGACACTTGGGATTGAGAAAGAAATCTTACTCGAGAGTCTAGTATTGTACGAATGAATTTCGTTAGTACAAATGAAAAAATTTACAAATGTGCTGGGAAGTAAATGATGGTGATATTTATGCATAAATATCGCCATGTGAAAAAGAACCAGATCATTAAATTTTTTTATTTTTGTTTGCTTAAAAAGTGGGCTAGAATGATCGTCAAATTTAGAAAATGTCATAATCCTCAATGCTCTTTTTTGCAACAAATAAACAGGCTTAAGGGTAGAGTTATACGTATTACCCCATACTATTAATCCAAATGTTAGAAATGAGTATAATAAAGATTTATTAGAGTAGTAGTATTAACATAATAGCGTAGTTTAGATAAGATTCCAATACTACGACTAACTTTCTTTTTAATAAAGTTTACTTGTTTTTTCCAGTTAAGGTTTGAATCAATATAGAGTCCCAGATATTTCACACACTTTTCCTCTTTTAATAATTTACTGTTTATAAATAGTGTTACTTTGGAGGTTAGTTTCTTTTGAAATGAGTGAAATATAACGAAATTTTGATTTATCCACATTTAATGATAGTTTATTTGAACACAGCCACATATGGACATTGTGCAATTCATTGTTCAAGACCAATTCAAGATCAGATAATTTTCTACCTGAATAAAATAGATTGGCATCATCCGCAAAAAGATGCAAATCAAGTACACTAGAACAATTGCTAAAATCATTAACATATAATAGAAATAACAGCGGACCCAACACGGATCCTTGGGGTACACCACAGGAAATGGGTTGCATATTAGACTTAGTATTACCGAGAGCAACTAATTGTTTTCTTCCACAAAGATACGAAGTAAATCAATCACTTGCTACTCCCCTGATGCCATAATACTCCATTTTTTGAATAAGGATTTTATGATTAACAGTATCAAAAGCTTTACTGAAATCTAGGAATATTCCGCAAGAATACTCTCCATTTTCAATCGAATTTTGCATTTTATCAACAATACTCAAAATTGCATGATCTGTAGAATGTTTTTCACGAAAACCAAACTGCTTAGAATAGAGTATGGATTTCTTCCTGATAAAATCGATCAACCTATTATACATGAGTTTCCCTAGAAGCTTACTAAACACAGAGAGAAGTGAAATTGGTCGATAATTACCCATATATGACCGTGTGCCACATTTAAACACAGGTATCACTCTTGCTAATTTAAATTTTTCAGGAACAATACCTAAGTTAAATGAAAGATTAAATAATATTTCTAAAGGCTTAGAAATACTAGTAGGTCACATCTTGGTGCATTGCAAGCTAATGGGTTAACAAGAGACACTGAAAGGTAGTTTTGTTAACTGGCACTACTCTTCTATTGAGGAGTAAAATAATCTGGCATTAGACAGAGTAAAATACTACAGTAGGTCAAATCTGGGTGCCATTGCAAGCTAATGGGTTAATTAACAAGAGACACTGACAGATAGTTTGTTAACTCATCAACCCATCAGCTTTCAATGCAACCAGATGTGGCCTACTTTAGAATATTACTCCAAATCGAGATGATTTTACTCATTATTGGAAGGGTACTGTCAAGTAATGAGTTAACAAAACTATCTGTCAGTGTCTCGATCTTGTTAACCCATTAGCTTGCAATGCAGCCAGATGTGGCCTACTTTAGTATTAAATTACTCTAATACCAGATGATTTTACTCATCTGAGCTGAGCGTCACTCGTGACTGTTAGCTGAGCTGTTGAAATCCTCAAGTGTGCGGTGTCGTGTTCTGCGTTTTCTGGCAGGCGTGGTATCCGCGTCGGATATTCAACATGTTGAATAATTTTGTGCATGAGTGAAGATTTCCTGACAGTGTGCTCGCGGCCTGAGCTATCAGCTCAGCAGTTGGAGCGAATGCGTGCACGTGTTCTTTTCATATTTTTAATTATTTTCACAACCCAATTTGGTGCAAAATAACTCAATAGTTGCTGAATCAGTACTGGGAAACAAATTAGCGGATTTTTTGCCCGATTATCTCTGTCTATACGAGGTAAGGTGTCCTGAGTGACCCATGTACTCATTTTTTCGGTGCCGTTTAGTTTTAAATGATTTGTTGACTGCTAAAAAGTAATGAATGTAATGTTTCTCAACTTTAAATGTGTTTGAACCCACTCTTAATTCATTTTACAGGAGTATCATTCGCTCCAACTGCTGAGCTGATAGCTCAGGACTCTTGCACACTGTGAGGAGATGTTCACTTGTGCACAAAATTATTCCACTATTTGAATATCCGACGCCCATATAGCAGGCGTGCAAGAAAACGCAGAATACGACACCGCACACTTGAGGAAACAGCGCAGCTAACTGTTAACAGTCATGAGTGACGTTCAACTCAGCTGTTTCCTCTAGTGTGCGCTGGGCTTTAGTATTTTACCCTAAATCCAGATGATTTTACTCATCACAGGAAAAGTACTGTTAGTTAATGAGTAAAGCTATCTATCGGTGTCTCTTATAATTGCTGTTACTACAGGGGAAACCTAAACGAAACTAACTTTAGTTATACTGGGTAGCTCTATCAGTGCTAAACTGTTCTTTCTAGAGGTGGACCAGTACGTAAGGTGGATCATCTCTTATTGATCCAGTGTTACTACAGGAGGAAACCTAGCAAAACTAAACTAAGTTTATTTATACTGGATATCTCTATCAGCTCTAAACTGTTCTTACTGGACCTCTAGCAAGGATCATCTCTTATTGATCCAGTTTTACTACAGGGGGGGAACCTAAACTAAACTAACTTTATTTATATTAGATAGCTCTAACAGTTCTGAACTGTTCTTCCTAGAGGTCCAGTAAGGATCATCTCTTATTGATCCAGTGTTACTACAGGTGGAAACCTAAACTAAACTAACTATATTTATACCGGCTGGATAGCTCTATGAGTTCTAAAGTGTTCTTCCTAGAGGTCCAGTAAGGTTCATCATATTTCTCTGGCTTTCCTCCCCTTCGTTTGGCGTCAAAAAACAGTGTCCATGTTTGGGGCCAAACCAAAATATGTTTCTCGATAGTGATGAAAACGCGTGTTGGGCTTCTGGGTTGGATTCCCAGAACACTGTGGGAATGAATTTCAAAACATGGGTACAGAATCATTACGTAGTTACCTATTTCTGTTTGGAAATTTCAAACTCGCCTTCTCAAAGCTCAAATTCAAACTTTGACTATTGCAGTTGTATGTCTCAATAGTTTTGTGGTTTTGGGGGACACCCTGTAGAAATAGAGAAAATGATTTACAAATGACCCCCTCCAAGATTTCTATATAGCAGAGTGACCTGCCGTTCCTTACTCCAGTTTCTTTCCCAAGCTCAGTGGTTGCCATGGCAGCTAATCAAATTCAAAAAGAACCGGGTGGCCGGTGGGGGAAACATTCAATGCTCCAAGCACAATGTCGAAAACTAAAGCAAATCTCTTGTGTTTTGACCCTGGTTTATCGAGCAAGAGTGCGTTAAATCGACGATGATTTTACTAAAGAAAGGCTACTTTATCCCGTGCTAGACACCGAAGTATGTTCAATTACATTTCGAAATGTTTTTCTCGCATATCCAAGCGGGATTCGAGGTTTGTATATTGTGTTATATTTACATTGTATTTGAGCATCATTTGTCATTTGTGAAGTCTTTCCGGTCTTATTTACTCATTTTGCTGTGGGTGAAAACAGCTTCATGGTACAGTAGATTGCTAAATAATTCAGAGCGGTTACACTCGACTTAAAAGCACAGAAAATCATTTTATGAAAGAATGGAATTTCAATTTTGTATACTGTAGATTTGCGACAAATTTTGATACAAAACTGGTTCGTTTTGCTTTGTTTAGAGAATTAAAATGTTTTTCTTTCGCCGATCAAACCGATTGAAGACGATTTACCTTCTTTACCAACGATCTATCTAGTTTTAGGTGGTATATTTTGCTACAGTATTTTTTTTTACATTTTTGTTTTGTAGAGATGTCAAACTTCTGATGTTAGGAATTGATAACGCTGGCAAATCAACTATTATCAATGATTTGAAAGGAGGTATTAAGATATTATTTAGAGCCTTTTTACGAAATTAATATCTTCTTACTGATGAGAGTTTGAATCATACTGTGATGAAAAGTTTGATATGTTTTAAGATATAAGCAGATATTGATACCTACAGTGTATACTTGTATTTTACTCTGTCTAATGTCAAATGATTTTACTCATTAGTGGAAGAGTACTGTCAGTTAATGAGTTAACAAAACTATCTGTCAGTGTCTCTTGTTAATCCATTAGTTTGTAATGCACCCGGATGTGGCCTACTTTAGTATTTTACTTGAGCAGCTGTCTAATACCAGATGATTTTACTCGTCAGTGGGAGAGTATACTAGCTGTCAGTTAATAAGTTTACAAAACTATCTGTCAGTGTCCTTATTTAACCCATTAGCTTGCTACTCTGTCTAATGCAAGATGGTTGTTAACAAAATATGTTCATTGTGGCTTTTATTAGAACCCAAAGAGTCGACAGTTCCAACAATCGGGTTTTCCAGTGCGGAGTTCAAGTTATTGAATTTTAAAGTGACAGCTTATGATGTTGGTGGTGGACCTCGTATCCGAGGAATATGGAAAGATTATTATGCGGAGGTACATATACACATAGGGTATACAAGCACAGAGGTTCTTAGTGCTTTGGTATTCTTTCCTGTCCAATTCTAGGTCATTTCAATTTGATCAACAGATGCTGAATAAATGACATTGTAAGTAATTCAGCTTGTAGGTACATCACATAAGTATTTAATACTGCAAAGCTTTCGGCCCGTTAACCTGGGCCTTTGTCAGTGCACGTCGGTTAACAGACCGAAAGCTTTGCATTAGTAAATATACTTACGTGGTGTACGTACCTACAAGCTAAATTACTTATCTATTGTCAAAGAGCAAACATACAAGAATATAAATGACATTGTGTTCTTTTTCAGATATTTGGCGTTGTTTATGTTGTTGACGCAAGTGACCGTGAGAGAATAGCAGATTCCAGAACAGTTTTACGTGAAGCATTATCAGACTCAAGACTCTCTGGGAAACCTTTTGTTGTGTGAGTATAGAAGTTATCCATTCTGAATCACTTAATTCCTAACCTTTTTACAATCTTTGGGTATTTTAGTTGGTTTGTTCAGAAGTTAATAGAATATACATGGTTTGGAGACTAAATAAAAGCACAATACAACTCATTAACTATGTTATTGTCCAGGTTTATGCCAAATGGTTCCTTCTCGTCACATGTTTATTGTATTTTAGCCAAAATTACCAATGGCATTTGTCTTGCTTGCTCATCAACCTTGACTTGAAAAATATTTTACTTATATACCACTTATTAACCGAATTTGAGGTCCGTACTAGAAAAATATCAGACTGAGGTCTTGACAGTACAGACCGAGCGATAGCGATCAGGTCCGTACATAAAAGACTGAGGTCTGATATTTTTCCAGTACGGAAATAAGGGATTTATTATATGGCATACAGTATCTAGTTTAAATATTTATTTATACAATGCGCTGCAGCATTCTTGCCGGCTCTTTCGCTAGCCAGTCGCCAAGCAAGCACTGAAGTGGCTTCCAAAACTTTGTTTTTTACTCGTTAAATAAGAATGATACAGTAATATAAACAAAAATCAAAGATGAATGAATATAATATTCACATGTACCAAATAATGCTCTTCTTCGTCCATTCTTTGTCGATATTTTTTGTGTCAAAAATAAAAGTTCAAGCATGTTTTTGTTCAAAAATATGAGAGTTGGACCGTTACTACGGCAACAGTCTAATACTGGGGGATTCCAGACCGGCAAAGAACCAATCAGCGCACGCCATTTAGTCACAAGACCGCGTGCCATATAATAAAAGATTGCTATTGGTTTATCTGTGCAAAATACAATAGACATGTAATGAGAAAGGAAAATTTTTTCGCATAAATCTACCTCAACATAGTTAATGAGTTGTATTGTAGTTTTATGTGGTCTCCAAACCATGTATATTTTATTAACTGTGGTTTGTCCAACACAGTCAGAAACCTGGGGTGGTTTTGTCAGGGGTGTGGACCATCCCCTCGGAGGCCAGGGGGTGCATGTGCAGAGCTAGCTCCCAGTTGGTGTGAGTATACCTACTGTATTAATAGTTTGATTTTTGATATGTTTGTTTGAAAATATTTTGAAAATGAGATGCTGCAGCTTGGATTATCAGAGATATGCATTAAAGTTTCCAAACTCTTACGTTAACAACTGAAATAATTATATAATTTGATGTTGATTAATTGCCTTTCATAATTCCCTAATAATTACCCGATACCCAAATTTACACTCCAAGTTCATCCCTCGATCCTGCCTAGGATAAAGGGGTATGCCTCTGGCAGAGGGCCTGCCCCATGGCCCTTAGTAATGATCCGATTCTGAGTTAGTATAATTTATATAAACATGCCTTTATGTTTTAATATACAGGTTTGCAAATAAACAAGACATTGATGGAGCAATGTCTGAACAAGATATTGATATGGAATTTGAGTTAGAACAGTTGGCAAAGAAATGTGAAAGTCATTATAAAGTTGTAAGTAATTAATAACTAAATTCTACTGTTCATGTCTTATTGATTACAGAAACCTAAACTAAACTAACTTTATTTATACTAGATAGCTCTACGAGATCTAAAATGTTCTTCCTAGAGGTCCAGTAAGGATCATATCTTTTTGATCCAATGTTACTACAGGAGGAAACTTAAATTAACTAACTTTATTTATACTGGATAGCTCTATCTGTTAGAAAATGTTCTTCCTAGTGGTCCTTGCAGTAAGGATCATCTCTTATTGATATTAATTAATGCTGGAATATAACTCTATGAAACTGTCCCTTGTCTTAATATCCAAATCCCAATCGTAAAATGAATTAACTGAAATATTTCTTCAGTTCCAGTGCACAGCTTTACTCAATGAGGGTCGAAAAATTGACAGTCAGCTGAAGAAAGGTTTGTCTTTAGAATTTATAGAACAAACCACTGCAGACCTTAATATATGAATGCGAAATATATATGAACATAAAAACTTGAAATTTGGATAGCGGGACAAAGTCGTTAGGCTGGTTACGCCACTGTAAATGGTTAAACGGTAGACCTTAAGGTCGGCGCACACTAGAGCTATGTGCTTAGCAAAAAGTCATTCGTGGCCATTGGCGTGCAAGCCAGTTTCCGGCTCTCGTGTGCGGGCGACTTTGGTCAATGGGAACACTTACGGCAAATATCTAACATGTTTGATAATTTTTGACTTGCGTGCCGAAATCCTTCCGTGTGCGGTTATTTTAAACGAAGTGGCTATTCGTACTGGAACAGTTCGCCGATTGTGATTTGCTATTCGTACTGCATTCGAAATGTTTTTTCCAATTGTCGCAATAATAAAGGATTTAATCGACTCTTGTAATCCGCCAGTAATCGTACCTTTATAAAGGGACAGTAAGCGATTGCAACAAACGTTATTTTGGTATCGGAAATCGATGTTTGAATCCTCGGCATACCGTACGGCGTACGGCCGAATGAGACTTGTAAAATTTTTCATATTTTGGTTTTTATTCGTGTGGGCACACGCGGGCGCGCAAAACTATAAAGGCCGAAATACGCACACCGGACGCGATACCGCAACGTGACGCGCATTTTCAGATTTCAGTGGCTGCAGACAAAATGAATTCTAAAAGCAAATTTTGCAAGGTATGGGCGCCAGAGCATTCAAAATATACTATAAGTAACCTTCAACACATGATAAACTTTACTAGCTTCTGGTGAATGAAAAACTATCGGTTTGTGTGGCCTGTCGGCCTTAACACTACGCGCTCGCGCGCCCGCGTGTGCCCACACGAATAAAAACAAAAATATGAAAAATTTTACAAGTCTCATTCTGCCGTACGCCGTACGGTATGCCGAGGATTCAAACATCGATTTACGATACGAAAATAACGTTTGTTGCAATCGCTTACTGTCCCTTTATAAAGGTACGATTACAGGACTCGATAAAAACCTTTATTATTGCGACATTTGAAAGAAAGATTTCGAATGCAAGCTAAAATGAAAGCTATCTGCTTACGGATTGTCTTAACAGCGCATGCGTAGTATAGGAAAGTAAACATTCAAGATGACGGTGCAAAATGAATTGGTGGCTGAAGCCATATACTACGCATGCGCTGTTAAGACAATCCGTAAGCAGATAGCTTTCATTTAGCAGCGCACGGAAAGATTTCGGCACGCGAGGCAGAAATTATCAAACATGCCGGATATTTGCCGTAAGTGACACGAATGGCCAAAGTCGACGGAAAAGTCGCCCGCACACGAGAGCAACTGGCATATGGCTCTAGTGTGCGCCAGCCTTTGCACCACAATTCTCTGCCTGGGGTGGTTAATTGGTGGTTAATTCCAAAACTGGAAATAGTTTCACTGACTACCGTAGGCGACTTAAGCCTCTTACAGACGAGCAAGTTTTTGTAACAAGTTTTAATTGTTCGTCTGTACAACCAACTGTACACCCAACCTTGTCATAGAAAACTTGCTCGTGTGTAAGAGGCTGAACGACAGCGCACAGCGGAAATCGTTAGGTGGGGGATGTTGAAAATCTCCAAACAAGTCTGATTTTCCGCTACACTTGTCCAAAATTGCACACTCTGTGATTGTGTATGACTTTACATTTATTCAGAAATCAACACTTTACAGCAATTCACGCTCTAAAGCCGCGTTTACACTTTAGGCCTAGACCTGACCTGGACCAGGTCTAGGACAAGTCTAGGTAATATGTGCCACGTTCACACTGTCTTCCTTGTTGATGATATCGGATAGCCAAAGTAATTGACAAAAACCTTGGAAAAATATCCAAAACACTCCGAAGTGGGGTAATACTATATGTATCCCATACAAATCATACTATATTAGCTAAGTTAAAAATTGGCCAGGACTAGGTAAAGCCTGTTCACATTACCAAAATCTTGCCCCAGGTCAGGTCCAAGCCTGGTCCAGGTTACCTTCTGCTGTTGGCCTGGATTTTGTGGCCTAGACGAGGACCAGGCCTGGTCTACGCCGGATAAACAAAGTTCACATCTAGGCCTAGGCCTGCATGGTCCAGGCCAGGTCAAAGCACATAGTGTAAACGCGGCTTAATACATAACTAACTTAAAACAATGATTTTAAGCTATATTTATAATAACAAAACAGGATGCTTTTGATGCATTTCCCTGACGCATCTCTTACAGGACTACAGGATGTTTTTCTGTAGTTTTCGCTCCACTACAACCCACATTCGCGTCCGCTTACGTTATTCTGTGGGACATTGGTTTCGCTGTGGCTGGCTGCTGCTACGTGCTACAACCTCAAAACCTCCATTTCCTATGCTATATGATACTACACTATTAACATTTACATAACAATTCCTTTAACAATAGTCAATACCTATACAATTTGCGACCATAACACTATATATTTGCGCATACTCTGTAAGTCACTGTTTACTTATGGTTGGCGCACTCAACCTAACCTAAATTCTGCAACAGGGGGCAAATATTCATAGTATTCTCGTTCAGCATTATTAGTTTCTTTTGAAATTTATTGTTTTTACGATCTGCTAACATGAATGATGATTATTAGTCACCACCTACACCCACCCCTCCCCACTTAACAATCGTCCCCCCACCCCTCCCCCCTTAACAATCTTCCGCCGTCTATGTGTACATAGTCAGTGCCGTACGAGAGGCAATAATTGGGGGGGGGGCACGTATTCATTTATTCATGTTGTGCAAGATTAATTTCAATCTTTTCAAATCTATCGTCTTTACCATAGGTATTATATTAACAAATTACCGAAAAATTTCTCGCGCATGCAATTTGTGGCCGCCTATGGTCTTTACAGGCCTGTTAACATGAATATTTGAACATGTATCGTGCCTCGTACTCTGTACATAGTTGAATGAATACTGCCATTTTACTTTTTATATAATCAGCCACAAGAAAATGGTATTCTGGAGGCTTTAACATTGCATGTTACTTGCAACTAAATACCAGGGGCCGGTTGTATCAAGCCCGTTTAGCTTAAACAGTGGTTAAGTTCAAAATAGAAAGCAAGTCTATCGCTTTATTCAAGAAGCAAACTAAATGTTTTTAACCTTAATGCAAAGATACTGTTTACAATTACATATTCATTGTATAATATTCAAGTTGACTCATACAAGAGAGATGTAAGAGTGTTATTTAAATCTGACTTATTCCCCGTTTAAGGTAAACGGGCTTGATACAACCGGCCCCAGGGATTATATTGCTCCAGCTCAGATACAGAGTTCATTTGCTTTATAAAGGCCTTCGACATAATTATATTCTATTTATTTGAATAGTTATAGCCCAAGCACCACCGCGCGCTCGCCTTCTTTCAGGTGACCTCTATATAATAACTGAATGCAAGGTTATATATTTTACTGTGATTTTACTATTAAAGCGCCTGGGTACGAGGCTGGCCAAGGCTTGTGTTTTTTACATACGGTTGTTGGATTTTGATACACATGTACATGCATGTAACTGTTATGTTTTAAAGCTTTAATATCTAATTTTTAAGGTTTAAGATGGTTATTACAAACTATGAATGAGGATTTTGCATCTTTGAAGGAGCGAGTTGAGAAAGATGTTGAGATTCAGGTATGTTGGTGTGAAGTTGCCATCGCAATTGATTTTGTGTCAGCCTTTTCAAGTAAACTGAAATAAGACTGGAACGCTCACTCTCTGACTTTCCCTCAGAGTGAAGCCAAGATGGCGGATTATGAAGTCTTTCTTGTAGGTATGATCCAGGCCACTGGCGCGGAAATTTCAAAGGTAAAATTATAATTGCCGCCATTTTACCTACCAAATTTCCGCGTGGAGGCCTTGATCATACCTACAAGAAAGGCTTCAGTATCCACCATCTTTGATTTGATCCATCCAGATTGGATTTTTAGTTCAGTTTTACCTTGTTCATTGCCAGTTAAAAATCAGTGTTTGCATTTGAGATCAGTGAGCGAGCTATCCTGTCAAGGTCAGCGTGTGACCTTACAAACATATATTTGAGATCAGTGAGTTATCTATTCAGGTACATTTGTGATCGATTTTGTATGAGCGTTTTCTCGCAACAGTTTGTTTATCACTCGGAAAGAATGTGTTTTACATAGAACATTGCTTGTTTTTAATTTAGAAAGAGGCTGAGAAGAAGACGAGGACTGAGCGCTTGGAAAGGGTTAGAAAAAATCGGGAAGAAAGGTTAGTGAAAAGTTTGTCATATGATGGATATATGCATTGTAAACAAACTGGTTTAAGATCAGTGAACTCTGGCAATGTTTAATCTGCGATATTTGCTGCGGTTTTCTCCTTTTCACAGATGTGAACAAGTGAATTAGTTACAGATGTTCACGTAAGAGCTCTTATATACATCAATGCATTCGTAACTAGTCACTCGTTCACATCTACCAAAATTTGAAGGAAATCGCACACAAAATCCCACCTAAAATTGCAAGTGTGAACGGGCCTTAAGGACGGAAAATAAAGAGTAAAATACTGCAGCAAGACAACAATCACACATAGTTTTGTTAACTCGTTACCTGACAGCACTCTTCCACTTTGGCCGGTTGTATAAAACTCTTTAACTACATTTTGCATAGTTAAATCCTAGTTAACTCAGAAATAAACGACTCTGTTTGGCCATTTCTGTCCTTTAAACTACATTTAAAAGTTAACTAGTCTTTTATACAACTGGGGCCGGTTGTATAAAACTCTTTAAACTACATAGTTAAATCCTAGTTAACTCAGAAATAAACGACTCTGTTTGGCCATTTCTGTCCTTTAAACTACATTTAAAAGTTAACTAGTCTTTATACAACTGGGGCCGGTTGTATAAAACTCTTTAACTACATAGTTAAAACCTATATAGTTAACTCAGAAATAAACGACTCTGTTTGGCCATTTCTGTCCTTTAAACTAGCTACATTTAAAAGTTAACTAGTCTTTATACAACTGGGGTCGGTTGTATAAAACTCTTTAAACTACATAGCTAGTTAAATCCTAGTTTACTCAGAAATAAACGACTCTGTTTGGCCATTTCTGTCCTTTAAACTACATTTAAAAGTTAACTAGTCTTTATACAACTGGGGCCGGTTGTATAAAACTCTTTGAACTACATAGTTAAATCCTAGTTTACTCAGAAATACACGACTTTGATTGGCCAATTCTGTCCTTAACTACAGCTAAAAGTTAACAAGTCTTTTACCCCAGGCCCCTGATGAGTAAACTCATCTTGTATTATACAGAGCAAAGTGCTAAATGCATGGGGCTGCATTGCAAGCTAACGAGAAACGGCGTTTCCTCGCGAGGTTGATAATTTATCATTGTCATCTATGTTCGCTTTCTGGGGCCGGTTATTTGTATCAAGCCCGTTTAGCTTAAACGGTGGATAAGTTCAAAATAGAAAGCAAGTCTATTATACAACCGGCCCCTGATTAATAGTGTCAAATATTTGACTTTCAATATATTTCAAATATTGACTGAAACAATGACGTTTTGAAATTAAAATAGACTTCTTAAATACATTTTCCTTTTAATATTTAACCAGTACAAGTTGACGCGGCCGAAAGCAAAATTAAAAAAAATATGAAAGCTCGACTTTCATAACATACATGCGATAAAATAACTCTAAATATCTTTTCAAAATAGCCATCGTTTCGTAGAAGGCATTTATAAAATACATTTTCATTGCTAACGTCTCGCTGTTTACCTGCCAACGTCTTTAAAACGGTATTTAGAATGTTTCAAATATATTGGAATTAAATACAAAATTACTGCGAAAATGAAATTCGCAAATACTAAAGGTCATGTTACACGGTGCAATTTTTCATGCAACTTGCAATGCAATTCTGCTTTTAAGAGATGTAAATTTGGCAGCTACGAAACTTTTATGTTTATTACACTCCATGTACGTTTCTTTCACTTACATTTTGAATACTCTGTACTAAATTACATCTCTTAAAAGTTGTATTGCATTGCAAGTTGCAAGTGCGAATCATATTTTAATAATTCATTACTGATATTAAAGTTTTCTTAAATAAACAAAAAACTTGGAAAGCTGTCGTTAAGGCGAACAACAACCGGGTTGTGCTCACATAATTATGTCTTTCTTTTGAAAATTCTGATATTTCTCTTCTGAAGATCTCATGCCAGTCGATAGCATTCTCACCGGGTACAACCCTGCCTTTCTGCCTGTATATATCGTGTGTTTAACTGGAGCGATATCCCAAGTTCTGCTTCTGGTTTGTCTCATAAAAGATCCTTTGAAATGCTTTCGGAACTCGTCGACGGAAACCTCGTTGGAAATCTAGCGGTTTGCGATTTGGGGGTTTTACTGCAGGTGACTTTTGGAACATTCTCTTCGCTGAAACCGCTCTTGCGTCTAATGTCTTACACGTTTTTCTACGGGTCGATTTTGACAATCCTTTCCATATCTTTGGATCGTTACACGATGGTCGCTTACCCATTTAAACACCGTTTTTTGATGAGCGGGAAGAAAGCTGCCGTTTGGATTATGGCGATTTGGCTCTTAAGCGTAGCGGTCCCTTTGTATTTCGTTATTACAACGAGACCAAACGAGGAATATATTGCGTATAAATACGGGATTTTAACAGGAATCATCGTGATGATTGTAATCATGTATTTTCTGGCTTCTTTGGCCTTGAAACAGCAAGTTAAAACGCTCCAAGGCACCAACGAAGCGAGGTATGGTCATAGGCTTCGTGTAGCGGGTGAAGAAAGGTTTATGCGAACTGTGATTTTCATTACAGTTATTGCCGTTGGGTGTCTCACTCCAGTTGCCATCTACGGTCAGGTTGTTACCGATCAGATTTCGAAAAATGGGTTGAACTATGTTTACGGTTCATTGATGACGTTGTTGTGTCTAAATTTCGCCATAAACCCTCTCATCTATTTCATACGACTGAAAAGCTATCGCAAAACGATATTGCTTGTGTTTCGCTGTGGAAATTAGGAGTTTCCTCTGTGGCGTTTTGCGAAGGAGAAAGTTTATTCATTGGTTCAAGGCCTATTGAAAATCTTCATGCAGTCCTTGAAATTTTTATTGTCTGGACTAACAGAATGAGTTGTTTTAATGTTGTGTATGATTCCACTCGAAATTAAGACCTTTAAAAACCTTTAGAATTTACGTACATCGAGTGAAGCGCCACAAAATCGTAATTGATTACCCTCACCTATACTCGGCATTACCACCTTAAAATACACATTAACACTAAAGTGAAGTGAAATGAAGTGAACATAGAAGTAATGTATAGACCTACTCTGTTCTTATCTTACATTTGTAATTTATCTTGTATATACTAGTTGTAAGATTTCTTATTGAACATAACTTGTTAAGCGCTATTGATCTGTCATTGTAAATAGGGCTATATAAGTGTTAAATTATTAAATTATATTATTATTATTGACCCATATACATATATATTTCAAGCTATATTCGTTTTTATTCTGACAGTGTCAAATTCATTATGAGTTGAATATATCACGCGTCATTTCCGATGCATCACTAAGTGTTTTTAATAGACAAATTTCAATTCAATACATATTTATATAATGCATTCAGGAAATTGCATGAAACTCGGGCTTATTGATAAAAAAACACCGCTCAATTATTTATTAAACTGTGTTTATGAACTAGAAAAAGCTGCACGATTTGAAATAATAATGATATATGTATATCCAAAATATTGTCATATCTGGTTTAATTTCATCGAAGTGGCTCTATCGCGCGTGCAATATGCCAGCTCTCTCAGAGGAAACTGATATAAGATACCTGCCAATATTCGTCGTATGTTCCTTCGGGGCTCTTGCGAATGCTATGCTGTTGATAGTCCTTGTCAAAGATCCCTTGAAATGCTTCAGAAATTCAGCGACATATCTCATCGGAAACTTGGCGTTATCTGATCTGATGTACAATTGTGCCTTGATCCCATATGTGTATAAAGTTACCTCTGATGAAACATTTTTGCTGTTACAATATTTTTCATTTTATTTATCAATGGGATCTATATTTTCCATTGCGCTCGATCGATATTTCATGGTCTGTCACCCTTTTAAACACCGTTTCTTTATGAGTGGTTACAAAATGGTTGTATGGATTTGCATGGTGTGGTTACTAAGTTCTGTGCATCCAGTGAAGGTGAATTTTGAATTGAACAAAATGGACGGAAGGATAAAACCCTTCGTTGGTTTGGTATTAATCATACTGACGGCTGTATTTTATAGAAAGACCTATTATACTTTGAAGAAACAAGCGAAGTCTATGTTAGGAAAAAGATCTGCCTTTTCTCCAGAGCGGAGTGAGGTTGTATCCAACAGAAGTATGTCGACTGACGGCGAGAATTGCACCACCATCGCTGGCTTTGGTGTAAATTCAAGTTTAAATAGAAAAGTAAATTCGTTTACCGTAACTGAACAAGTCAAAAATCCGAATGACACTGTTTGCAGTCGAGATTTTGGCCAATTTCAGAGTACGAATAACCGTGCCGAAAATGAAGATTATCGATATCGTGCTTGCGATTCACATGAGCGTGCTCAAAACGGGATTGAACGTGACGAAAGTCGTTCTGAACGTGCTCGAGATCAAGATGAACCCGTCAAATGCCTAAATGAACGTGGTGAAAACCATAATGAACGTGCTGAGACTCAAGATAAACGTTTCCAAATTCAAGAGGAACGTATTGAGAATAATATTAATCGTGCTGGAAGTAAAACCGATAATTGTGATATTTCTACCAGAGCTACGACGAGCATGACAACAAAATCAATCACAAAACAACGCAAATCTCCCCAAAACATGAACAATTTTAAGGAACAGAAGTTTTTAAACACCATAATTATCATCGCGTTTGTAGCCGTGATTACTGTGGTCCCGGCAACGATTGTATTTCAGTGTTGTCCCCAATTAAATAATTCATTTCCACAGATCCTCGTCGTGACGATATTCTGCGTCAATTTTGCTGCCAATCCCGTCCTCTATTTTTGGCGTTTGGAGCGATATAGAAAATCGTTTAAACTGGTGTTTGGATGTAAAACCTAGAAGCTTTGAATGTTTTTAAATTGACTTTAGAAACTACAAAGTAGGCGATCTCGATTACTAATGAAAATTACGAAGTTAGTAGCGAAAATGGGTTAAAAAATTGCGCTATCAAAGAGAAAACTATTAAATAACGTTCAAAAGTTCA